CTCCCCAGTGAGAACTCACCGGCTGGTTCCCCGAAGTAGCTCTTGGAAGGGAAGTTGGGGACCCCAGTGACAACTTGAACAATAGCTGGAGCCAGGGAGGGTCCCTGGGGCCTTGTGAATCAAGCGCTCTCTGTAGGAAAAAAATGGACTCGCAGACATCTGTTGAGTCCGTGAAGGAATGAATGGGGGCTCTTTGAAATGTATCTTGGGGGGAAATTTACAGGGCCGGGTGTTGCAAAAACTCCTGATACACAAAGATCGAAATTCGACACCCAGTAAATAGGACCTAGCGCTGTTTCCAAAGCAGTGAACTTGGGGGGGGGGAAGAGACTGCTCTAAATTTATGTGCTTCAAGTTAGCCCAGGAGGGAAGCCCAGAAATGGGGCACGTTAGAGAGTGGGGCTTTTCTGCCGGGCCGCAGCTTGCAGAGGCGTCTGGGGCAGCTTTGGGGAGTCACCAGAGGCCCCTAACGCCTCCCCTCTGGGGCTGGCCTGGTGGCAGAGGCTTTTGTTTATTTTTAACAGCAGGAAACCCCCTGTGGTGGAAAAGAGGTCATCTCCAACCTGGGAAGGCGGGAGATACACAGCCCTGTGGGGTGCGGCCAATCCACAAAGTCAGCGAGGCTTGGGGCCCTGGAGGATGGGAGAGCTGAGAGTACTCAGGGTCCCAGGTAGCAGAGCTGGGACTCCCAACGCGGCCCTCTGAGGCCTTCATCCACTGTCTTGCTGCTGCCCCGTCCGGGAGGGCAGAGCCTATGCTAGCCTGAGAGTTCTTTGCAGAACAGAGGCACTTTACACGGGGCTCTTGTTTTGCTCACCCGTGAAATGGAGCAGGACAGCTGGAACAGCTGTGGGACACTGCGTGGAAAGCCCCACAAACCAAGCGGAAGGACTAGGCCAGTGCCCGTGCCACGGAGATTAGTATGGCCAGGGGAGCTTGGCACCTGAAGACCCCAGAGGCACTGTGGGGTAGGGCGGGGGGTGCTCCTGGGTGGGCACAGAGGCTCAGAAAGAGGCCCACCAGTTGGTGAAAGGTTGATTTTTAAACTAAGCATCAATTCAAGTTAATCTGGCCCTGGAGGGGCAGCCAGGTGACGCGCAGGAGGAGCTAGGCTTTGAGCTGCCTGCAACGCTGGCTTTTTCTGCCTCTACCCTAGAGAGTGAGGGCCTCAAAAGGCAGGAGTTGGCACACGGAGGTGAGCACACTGGGGAAACTTGAGAGGTCCCTGGAGTAGAAGGGCCTGGCACAACTCCACCCTCCTTTTCCTGAGGGGAGGAAGCAGCTAGACAGCCAGCGAGTCACCATGACTGGCCCACGCTGTCCCCTGCTTCCTTCCTGCCGACACCAACGTGGCGGGGACCAAGGGGCACACAGGGAACCTGGGCTGGGCCTGCGCCCATCCGGCAGCACGTGTCCAGCTGGTTCTCACTCCCCTGGCCTCAGCTCGTTCACCAGGAATCCCTGAGGACTGTGAGGGGCAGACCCCCTGGGGACCGAGAGGACCCACATGCCTTCTCCACACTTGCTCTGGAGACTGGTCTCTTGGGGCCCAGGAAGGCCTGCTGTGCAGAGGGTGACCTTGTCCTTGGGAGGGTAACCTCAGCCCAGTTAATTTTTCACCAGGATAAGTGCAAAGTTCAGGAGAGGCCAGGCAGGGGCGGAGGCAGTGGCTCGGTGTCCCTGGGAATTGTCAGCCTCAGGAGGGACACACCACAGTTGGAAGGGCCTCCCAGGCAGACACCTGACTTGGCTATGGTTATTTCCCACCACCAGGATGTTTGGTCAAAAGGTACTAACTCTGGAAAGATTGGAATTGTTCTATCTTCATTTCACACAGACCAGAAAGAAGGCCAAGTCAGGATTAGAACCTTCATCACAAGCCCTCTTGCTGGTGGTGATGACCAACGCCCCATAATCCCAGCACTCTGGGAGGCTGAGGCAAGAAGAGCAAAAGTTCAAGTCAGACCTGGACAACTTAGCAAAACCTTGTCTCAAAAATTTTAAAAAGGGGGTGAGGATGTAGCTCAGTGAAAAGGTGCTGTATTCGATCCCCAGTACCAAAGCGGGGGGGATCATCTGCCTACAAGTAGGTCTGCATCTGTGGACCCCTAGAGCACTTTATACACCTGGACTGTCCTGGTGCTAGACGGCCCAGGTTAACTGGAACACCACTACTTCTGGCTGTGTGACTGTCCACGCAGTCCTTACCTCTGTGGGTCAGTTTGCTCAGCCATGGGAGCGTGGGAACCTGCACTTTAAGGTTGTTGTGTGGGGTTTGGTGCTGCACATAGTAGGTTTTCAATTTGCATGGCTGTGGAAAACAGCACTAGGTGCCCCAGACAGCTAAGCATAGACTTACCACATGGAAGCCCAATGAGGTGGCACATGACTAATCCCAGAACTCAGGAGGCTGAGACAGGAGGCTCCCTAAGAGTTTGAGCCCAGTCTGGACTACATAGCAAGACCTTGTTTGTCTCTGCCTGTCTGTCTGTCTATCTGCCTACCTGTCCCTTTCCCCTCTCACATGTGCAAGCATGGGGGGGGGTGATTATGATATGGCCCAGAAAGTCCTTTTCTTCGAATACAAACAAAACTAAAGTAGGGATTCAAAGAGAAATTGGCACATACACGTTCATAACCAGCATTATGTGCAACAGGCAAAGAGAGAAGAGGCTCCAGTGTCCATCAAGAGATGAATGAATATACAAAATGTGTGTGCACACAATGGGATATTACTAGGCCTCAAAAAGGAAGGAAATTCTGATTCGTGCTACAACATAGGTAAATCTTGAGAACATTACACAGCGTGATCTAAGCCCATCCTGAAAGGACTCCAGGGAGGGTACCTTCCTCCAGTGGTCAAGTTCACAGAGACAGAGAGTGCCGGTCGCTTGGCAGGGGACCAGGTAGGAGAAGGTGTTGAGTTGAATGGTTACAGAGTTTCAAGTGAGGGAGATGGAGAAGGTGGGTTAGGGATGTAGGAAAGGTTGTGCAACAATGTGACTGTTCTTCATGCCAGAGCTTTCATGGTTAAAGTGGTAACTGTTGCTATAGGTATTTTCCAACAATAACATTGTATAGGAATGAAAAGATACACTGCAGAACAGGTATTGGATGGGGGGCAGGGGATGAAACTAAAGGAGGGAGAATGGATGTCCGTTGGGGTCTACTAGGGTCAATACACAGGTGCTGAGGAATGGGGTTGGTTTAACCTTTGCTGTATGAGTTCAGTACTTGCTAGTGAAAACGCTGGTTTTCTCAATTTGTTCCCAAGGCAGTGCCTACAGCTTCCAGCCCAGTGTGGTTCAGTGAAGGTGATCACTCAGCCTTGGGCACCCAGCCGACATGACTGAAAGCCTCTCACAGAGTCCATCTGAGGCACTGGCAGCCTCAGTCATGGGTCCATCTGATGGCTGAGGGAACTGGGGTCCGCCCTGTGCCAGGCTCTGGGCCTGGGCTTTCAGGCTGTGGCCCTAATAACCTTCTCGCGGTTTCTACAAGATGGTTCTTACTTCTGCTGCTTCACAAAGGAGGGCTGCAGGGAGTTAAACTGCTGTTGGCCAAGGCCAGACTGGCCGCTCTGTCCGCAGTCCCCTCGACAGGCTCCTGGTGTTCATCACAGAGTGCCTGGCGGATGATGCTCTGGCAGGGGAGCTGAGCAGGGGCACCGTTCAGGGAAGGTAGCAGGCCTAGGGCCACAGTGGATGACAGAATGGGTCCATCAGCAGGCCGGAGACCCATGGCAGAGTGCAGGGAGCTCTTCTGAGTTCTCTTCAGGAGCCTCTTCCTGGCCTTAAGAAACTGCAGTTCTTGCCGGGCATGGTGGTACATACCTGTAATCCCAGCACTCAGGAGGCTGAGGCAGGAGGATTGCCATGAGTTTGAGGCCCGCCTGGGTTACATAGTGAGACCCTATCTCAAAAAAATATTTTTAAAAAGTGGCTCTGAGAGTCTGGGGACAGAAGAGGATCCTGATTGTGGTGTGTGTGTGTGTGTGTGTGTGTGTGTGTGCGCACAGGTGCATGAGTGTTTAATTTTAATTCTGTGTGTCAGGTGCATTGAGCTCCTGGTATGTGGGGCTGGGCCACTATCTGCCTGCCCTGCCTCGGAGGTCCTTCTTGTTCAGATATCCTTCCTTCAGGGCCCAGCCCTAACTGTTTAAGGGAAACAGGTCCACACCATGTGAGTTTTCTCCCACATTCGTGCTGTTTTGTATCCTCACCTGTCTTGTATGTGTGTCTATGTATTTAAGGAGTCCTCAGAGTTTCCCTTTCCTGTTTTG